ATGACGCAGGTTTCACAACGCAATCGGGTGTTCCAAGCTAACCTGGGATGTTTTGCTTTGAAGGGGGGACTATCACCTATCCCTTAAATTGCATACTTCAACCTTTAATAGACTTCGGGTGGGCAGGAGCACTTTTGGTTAGTGTCCTCAACATTAGTCACACGTACAGCTAAAACTCACACACTGATCCGTCTCTTGTGGTGTAATAATTTCATGTTAGAAGAGGAAACTAGTCTCATTTTATAGGGAAATTACGATAGCCAATGAAACTAAAAAGTCGTGTTTCCGCCTTTACCTAATGAACAGTTATCGTCAGCTAGAGTAGAGAGAGAAGGGGTTGTGTGAGAGCATTATGTGTGTGTCCCAGTGTTTTTGCTAATCAATTATCACACCTGTAAATTAATTTTCTCTACCTCAAGTCTCCCAACCTTCCCATAAAATACACATTGGTATAAAAATAGAAGGAAAAAAAACCCAACATAACTATTTGTTTCCCAATAAAAGTATTTTCCCCGATACCGACAAAGGTAAATAGATTATTGGACGGCGTTAAGGGTCCCCCACGTACCTGGGATAATGGTCAGATTAATCCGTGTTCTGGCTTACTGTGTGAACTTGAGATTGTGTGTAGTTATGTGTAGCAGCTGAAGAGAACCAGAGAATGTAAAAGAAATGTTATCTTACTATTATTTACACTAATAATAAGAATAATAATAATGATAACAATGATAATAATAATAATAATAATAATAATAATAATAATAATAATAATAATAATAATAGGTTCTAAATCATCTAAGTCTCTGTGTCATCCCCTCGTTTACTAATTTATTATTCCTATTTTTTCATCTCTTCCTATCATCATCTACCCTTTCAAGTCCTTTACTACACCTCTCTCTCTCTCTCTCTCTGTCTCTCTCTCTCTCTCTCTCTCTCTCTCTCTCTCTCTCTCTCTCTGTGCCATTCCTTCACTTCCCTTCCCCCATCCCAGTATATTCCATTTACCCTTTTTCTTCCTCATTTACCTTCCCTTTACTTAGTATTTCTCTACCCTCTTTCATCTTCCTTTCACAATTCTTTCTTCTCTTCAATTCCCCTCTACTGTATTATTTTCTTTACACAACTTCCCTCTCTCCCCAACTCCCCTCTCATTCACCCTCGCCTCTCCTTCACCCTCACCTCCCCTTCACCCTCACCTCTCGTTCACCCTCCCCTCCCCTTCACCCTCCCCTCTCCTTCACCCTCACCTCTCCTTCACCCTCCCCTCCCCTTCACCCTCCCCTTTCCTTCACCCTCACCTCCCCTTCACCTTCACCTCTCCTTCACCCTCCTTCCCACCTCCTCTCTTGCCCCCTGATGTTCAACTTCCTCAGATGAATTCATTAAAGTTCTGGGGGTCGTCCTACGGTCACTCCTCCACCTGTTATGAAGTCTGCGAACACAGGGCGACCCTATACACACGCTCTCTTGTTGTAGGTGATACGGGCCCCAAGTTCTTATGTGGTTCTAGTCTTTATGGGCCCCCAGTTCTTATGTGTTCTCAGTCATTATGGGCCCCAAGTTCTTATGTGGTTCTAGTCTTTATGAGCCCCGAGTTCTTATGTGTTCCCAGTCTTTATGGGGCCACAGTCCTTATGTGGTTCTAGTCTTTATGGGCCCCCAGTCCTTATGTGTTCACAGTCTTTATGGGCCCCTGTCCACATGGGCCCCATTTCTAGTAGGCCCTGCTCCTAGCGCTACTAACCACTACGATTGGAGACCATTTATGATTTCAGGGATCTTATAACTGTGGGCTCTTTATAACTGTGAAACCTCCATATATCGGACTTCTCTCTCCATATACTGTAGTCCGTTAAATAGAGGTTTCACAAGTATAAATTTTGTGGGGTTTAATAACAACGATCAGAGTGTTTTGTAGAAGTCCTGGATCCCTTCTAATTCTGCTTATGTGGGTTTTAATGGTCTTAGGAAAAGATTGAATCAAGTTAAGGGGATCGAATAGTTCGTGCGTTTTTTTATATGAATTGTTTCACTTATACTGGTTGGTATCGTTCTCCCTGTCTGTTAAATGCTATGGTTTCTACGTACAAGGTGTTTGGGATGTTTCCTACTACTACTACTTCTATTACTACTACTACTACTATTACGACTACTACTACGACTACTACTACTACTAATAATAATAATTATAATATTTCTTCACTCTGTCACTTACGAACATACATAATAATCTAAGATGACATCGATTAAATATGGTACCATTAAGGAGTGGATCAATTAACTAAAAACTTACATTATAGAAGGAAGATGAAACACGGGGTGAACATACAAAATACAGAAACTACAGTAGGTTGGCGAGTTATGTAGTACTAATGCAGCTGTTGTTTTGGACAGCTGCACGTGGTAGTTCTGTCCAAATATTGTATGTGGACAGGTGTGTATGTTTATATATGTGTGTGTGTGTGTGTGTGTGTGTGTGTGTGTGTGTGTGTGTGTGTGTGTGTGTGTGTGTGTGTGTGTGTGTGTGTGTGTGTGTGTGTGTGTGTGTGTGTGTGTGTGTGTGTGTGTGTGTGTGTGTGTGTGTGTGTGTGTGTGTGTGTGTGTGTGTGTGTGTGTGTGTGTGTGTGTGTGTGTGTGTGTGTGTGTGTGTGTGTGTGTGTGTGTGTGTGTGTGTGTGTGTGTGTGTGTGTGTGTGTGTGTGTGTGTGTGTGTGTGTGTGTGTGTGTGTGTGTGTGTGTGTGTGTGTGTGTGTGTGTGTGTGTGTGTGTGTGTGTGTGTGTGTGTGTGTGTGTGTGTGTGTGTGTTACTATTAGAATTGTACTACAGGGCGCGTATCATTCTCTCTCTGCTAGTCTACCTGTACTGAGTGTAGGCAAGTGTACACGTAATCGTTTGGTTTAACAATCTCATAAAACTGTCAGAGTACATTTGTTCTCTTGATTTAATGCATATAAATCATGTCATAAACTTCTGATGGAAGGTTACATCAGAAAAACTCATAAACACGTCATTTTGGCCAGACCTAGTGTAGTGTAGTGTAGTGTAGTGTACTGTACTCATTAACATGCATGGTGTATATCACAGATTACTATGTACGAACAACCATTATTATGTAGGTGCAGAATTTTTTGTTTTAAGCCACACAAGATAGTGAGGCTTCTCTCTTAATCACCATCATTGGTAATATATTATCTGACTTAATGAACCTGTGTGTGATTTCTTGTCCTGTTAAGAAAGAACATCTGGCTACAATAGTGTGACCGCCATCTGTAATGCTGTAAAGTGAGGTAGTCTAAAGCCTCTCGCAGCGCCATTAAGGGGAACCTAACATACGTACCATTAAGGTCTCTTGTGCCATTATTATATATCGTTCTCACTTTGGGACTAACTGTTACTGAACCTGAAAATTCAAACTTCCATCACTGTTTGGCTTCAGTGGAAACATTTTTTTTTTACTCGACAATAAAAGAGAAAAAAAATGGACACGTGTCGGTATGTCATTATTTGATGACTTGTGTCAGTCATTATGAAATATATTTTTTTGGGGGGGTAATTCCATGACGAATTCATAATAGGAATATATTTCACACTTCCATCATGGTGTGTAGCAACGCGTGAATATATATTTGTATACATATTAAACGAACATGATTTATTGATGCCTTGTTTTTCGTCCATTGTGATAATCGCTATTCACCTTTTTGCTTGGAAGATCTTTATTTTTTATTATTTTATTTTCCTTTTCATTATAACGCGAGTGTTTTCAGCGCCTTACTGATTATATTATTTCATATACAACTTCCTCGTTTATGATTTAATATTTATATCAATAGTCCTTGACACCCACCCATCCAAATACTGGCGTCAGTTATCGTAATGAAATAAATTAATAATTATTAGTAATCAAGTAATCTAGTTTATTCGTTTTTAGTGTTAAATAGTTTTCAAACCTTAATGTTAATATAGGTAGCGTGTGTCAGGTGAGGGCGAGTGTTAGCTGGTCCGGCAGTGTGTATCAGTGACATGATGATCGGTGCTGCTGATGATTGATGCTGTTGATGATTGGTCCTGTTGATGATTGGTCCTGTTGATGATTGGTCCTGTTGATGATTGATGCTGTTGATGATTGGTCCTGTTGATGATTGGTCCTGTTGATGATTGGTCCTGTTGATGATTGGTCCTGTTGATGATTGGTCCTGTTGATGATTGGTCCTGTTGATGATTGGTCCTGTTGATGATTGGTCCTGTTGATGATTGGTCCTGTTGATTGGTCCTGAAAATCAGTTCCAACATTTTTGAAAAATATTTCACTATTTTTCATTAGTGACCTTTGACTTATTATAAAATGATTGAAAATATATGAAATCCAAATTTATATATTCTTGACTGGGTGTACCGCCATGTATATTGGTTGACAGGGAAAAATAATGGACCATAAGTCTACAAGTTTCCATTTTATGTGACCTTGGATACCTATAAGATGGCTAAAACTACATATAGTGAAGATATTGTAAGTAAAACAATGCATCTTTACTTCATATCTTTACAACTGCATACGTGTACCAAATTCCGTGGACTTTAGTTAAATAATGGTGAGATAATGACTAAAAAAAAAAAAAAATATATATATATATATATATATATATATATATATATATATATATATATATATATATATATATATATATATATATATATATATATATATATATTATATATATATATATATATATATATATATAAAATTCTGACTATGCCCCAATGCTGTGGCTTCAGTCTCGCGTAATTTAAAAACGAAAATATGAGTTTTGTATTTCCTTTCTTAGACAACGTGTGTGTGTGTGTGTGTGTGTGTGTGTGTGTGTGTGTGTGTGTGTGTGTGTGCGTGTGTGTGTGTGTGTGAGCGAGCAGACACATACAAAGGCACAGACACACTACGTCAGTATCTTCTGGTAAACTCTGGAAGGAAAATAAGTTATATATCTCGTGGACGGTGACAGCCAACACCTGCAGGAAGGACACCCAGCTCAGAGGACCTCACGGCTCCCAAGCAAGACAAACACCAGGCTCTGAGTGGCAAACACCAGGTTCTGAGTGGCAAACACCAGGCTCTGAGTGGCAAACACGAGGGCTTGCATGACGTGTTTGTCCAGCAGACTCAATCCCACGGGGGCCGAGGCATTCTCTTGTTGTCTTGGGTTCCAACTTCCTCCACCTGTTGCTGTGTCCTGTTTCTGTGTTAGTGGTGTTGTGTGTTGGTGGTGGTGTTGGGTGATGGTGGTGTTGGGTGTTGGTGGTGATGGTGGTGTTGTGTGTTGGTGGTGTTGTGTGTTGATGGTGGTGTTGTGTGTTGATGGTGGTGTTGGGTGATGGTGGTGTTGGGTGATGGTGGTGTTGTGTGTTGATGGTGGTGTTGTGTGTTGATGGTGGTGTTGGGTGATGGTGGTGTTGGGTGATGGTGGTGTTGTGTGTTGATGGTGGTGTTGTGGTGTTGTGATGGTGTTGGGTGATGGTGGTGTTGTGTGTTATGGTGGTGTTGTGTGTTGATGGTGGTGTTGGTGATGGTGGTGTTGTGTGTTGGTGGTGTTGTGTTGATGGTGGTGTTGTGTGTTGATGGTGGTGTTGTGTGTGATGGTGGTGTTGTGTGTTGGTGGTGTTGTGTGTTGATGGTGGTGTTGTGTGTTGATGGTGGTGTTGTGTGTTGATGGTGGTGTTGTGTGTTGATGGTGGTTGTGTGTTGATGGTGGTGTTGTGTGTTGATGGTGGTGTTGTGTGTTGATGGTGGTGTTGGGTGGTGATGGTGGTGTTGGGTGTTGATGGTGGTGTTGGTGTTGATGGTGGTGTTAGGTGTTGGTGGTGATGGTGGTGTTAGGTGTTGGTGGTGATGGTGGTGTTATGTGTTGGTGATGGTGTTATATGATATGTATATCTACATTGTTTCCTATATTCACGTGTTTTACTCTATCCTCTTATACAAATACTGTTATACACTCACAGGATATATTTCTCCCCTATAATCTTAACTCCAAAACGATATATAAACATGATATAATTACCCTCCTATAGAATTTCCATCCCTCTAAATTTCAAGTTTACTCACAAGATATTTTTCTCCATTCTACAGGATTCCTCCGCCTCTCACGCCTTGAAGACCTTGATCAGCGTCTCAACAGTCATTCTTCTGGGGCTTATATGTGCCTACCACGCCCTTGAGGTTCAGGTGGGGTACTGTACAGGTGGGGTACTGTACAGGTGGGCAACTGTACAGGTGGGGTACTGTTCAGGTAAGTACTGTACAGGTGGGGTACTGTTCAGGTAAGTACTGTACAGGTGGGATACTGTACAGGTGGGGTGCTGTACAGGTGGGTACTGTTCAGGTAAGTACTGTATAGGTGGGGTAATGTACAGGTGGGGTATGTACAGGTGAACGACGTATGTGACGCCCGATAATCAGGTAAATATAACCTCAAGCCAGCAGGTGTTATGACAGGTGTAAGACAAGTATGACGCACCTCTACACTCAAGGTCTAAGTGAATACACCCTGAGTGTTACAGGTATAGAACAGGTATGTCAGTCTGTCACACCTTAGATCTTCAGCTTAACGCATTCCGAGTTTAGCTGTGTATGAATGAGCAAAAATTATAGTAAAATGCTATTGATATTAAGATTTGAATACTGAAGAGGAAAAACGAAAACTCTTTGTACCGTAGCTATAGTCTCAATGTAATTTAGATACCATTTTATGACGTTTTTTTCATTGACTATAGTTACAGTAGAGTCTTAAAGCAATTCTGATGCCACACAATAACACACTTTTGTTTTCATGGTGATGTGTGAAATGATACAAGTGTTACCTATAGAATTTGGTCCGAGTATTCCAGGTACGTGTGGAGGTGACTAAGAGTTACCTGTCCTGGTATAGTGGTACTTCCTTGAGAATTGTGGTATCGAATCCTGCTGTGGGTGACATTTGTTGTTATTTTGTTACTTCAAGCGCCATTTTGTGAAGAAATATTCCCGGTGTATCTTATAATTACGGTAGAGTCTGTGGGGAATTTTGATGCCATTTTGGGATGTTAATTTATCAATGTTATAATTATAGTCGAGTCTTCGCGCGATTTCGACATTATTTTTAGTAGTTTTTTATCATTCATGGGAAAGTTCGACGTGTGAAAAGTTTGAAAAGTTCTACATTGCGAAAGTTTAAGAAGTTCTGTCCATTGAAAGTTTGGGATGGTATAACGTGCGAAAGTTTAAGAAGCTTTACCCAGGACGAAGGTGAAGCTGTGGGGACAAGACTATGGGCGAAGCTGACCACTGAAGATAATTGCCTAAAGCCAGCGAGGCGGGAGATGGGCCTGTGGGCAGTTATTGGTGGTAGGTGGTGGAGCGGAAAGTGACCCGAGCTAAAAGTGGTGGAGCGGAAAGTGACCCGAGCTGAAAGTGGTGGAGCGGAAAGTGGCCAAGTGGGAAAGCGGTGGAGCGAGAAGTGGCCAAGTGGAAAAGTGCCTGAACAAGCAAAGAAGACCGAGCGGAAAATTGTGAAGAAAGTGGAAAGTGAGCAAGTACAAAGTGCTAGAATACGCGGAAAACCGAGTGGGAAAGTGACCAAGTAACAACTAACAGAGGGGAAAATGGTCGAGCGGGAAGGGGTTCAGTGGATAGTGTTTGAGTAGTAAATAAATAAGCGGAAAGGCGTTCACACAGTAGACAGTCAAACAGAAAGTAAATAAACAGCAGAAAGTACCACGAGAGCTAGAGACCGAGTCGAAAGTAGCCGAGCAGAAAGAGTACAAGCAGAAAGCGGCAGAGCGAGATAGGCAGAACAGAAAACTACCTAACAGAAAATCAAGCAGACAACTATTCTGAAACTAACGCTCCAGACATTATTTGCATTAAAACTCGTAAAGTGAAGACATATTTACGTCCTTCGTCGCGTTTTATCTCCAAGTCTCCACCTATTTAGGGAAACGATAACGTGAAACACTAAAAAAAAAATCATAATGGCGTTTCCCTCAGGTCGCCTAATTCCTATGTTATATATTAGATTGCGACCGTCCAGATTCGCTCAGCATTTGCATATCCCACTAGTAACAACACTGACCATATCGGTACCAGTTTGTGAAGGTCTTTTTCTACTGGTGTCAATTAAGTTTTTCTCCTTATACCTGAAACGAGAATTAAGAGGAAAGGAGGAAAATATGTATATAAATCCTTAATGAATGCAAGATACTAAAGCTCCTACTCGTGTGTACCAACTTGAAAATTTTTTTACACGATTGACATACTCTTAGTGTGTGTGTGTGTGTGTGTGTGTGTGTGTGTGTGTGTGTCTGTGTGTGTGTGTGTGTGTGGACGCCAAGCTAATAGTGCACTAACTATCTTAACACTAATTAGCTTTACTGAGTGGAACTAACTGCGCGATACTAACACAGGGTCTCGGGAATTACTAAGTTAACGAGAGAGTCGCATGTTCACTTCACACACACACACACCCACACACGCACACACACACACACACACACACACACACACACACACACACACACACACACACACACACACACACACTACACACACACACACTACACACACACACTAACGCCCAAACACAATCATTTAATTATAATATCTTTGTTTTTTAATATTTCCTGGTCTGAGAATTTGGAGCATACTGCATTAGAAAATTAATCATCATCCTGTTAAAATGGAATAAAAATGTGAATTGTTACAATCTGATGTGCTTGTGTTTACTATCTGACGTGCTTGTGTTTACTGTCTGATGTGCTTGTGTTTACTGTCTGATGTGCTTGTGTTTACTATCTGACGTGCTTGTGTTTACTATCTGATGTGCTTGTGTTTACTGTCTGATGTGCTTGTGTTTACTGTCTGATGTGCTTGTGTTTACTGTCTGATGTGCTTGTGTTTACTGTCTGATGTGCTTGTGTTTACTATCTGATGTGCTTGTGTTTACTATCTGATGTTTGTGTGTTTACTGTCTGATGTGCTTGTGTTTACTATCTGATGTGCTTGTGTTTACTATCTGATGTGCTTGTGTTTACTATCTGATGTGCTTGTGTTTACTATCCGATGTACTATCTTTACTATCTGATGTGCTTGTGTTTACTGTCTGATGTGCTTGTGTTTACTATCCGATGTGCTAATCTTTACTATCTGATGTGCTTGTGTTTACTGTCTGATGTGCTTGTGTTTACTATCTGACGTGCTTGTGTTTACTATCTGACGTGCTTGTACTATCTGACGTGCTTGTGTTTACTATCGATGTGCTAATCTTTACTATCTGATGTGCTTGTGTTTACTGTCTGATGTGCTTGTGTTTACTATCTGATGTGCTTGTGTTTACTATCTGACGTGCTTGTGTTTACTATCTGACGTGCTTGTGTTTACTATCTGATGTGCTTGTGTTTACTGTCTGATGTGCTTGTGTTTACTGTCTGATGTGCTTGTGTTTACTATCTGATGTGCTTGTGTTTACTATCTGATGTGCTTGTGTTTACTGTCTGATGTGCTTGTGTTTACTGTCTGATGTGCTTGTGTTTACATCTGATGTGCTTGTGTTTACTGTCTGATGTGCTTGTGTTTACTGTCTGATGTGCTTGTGTTTACTATCTGATGTGCTTGTGTTTACTGTCTGATGTGCTTGTGTTTACTGTCTGATGTGCTTGTGTTTACTGTCTGATGTGCTTGTGTTTACTATCTGATGTGTGTTTACTGTCTGATGTGCTTGTGTTTACTGTCTGATGTGCTTGTGTTTACTGTCTGATGTGCTTGTGTTTACTGTCTGATGTGCTTGTGTTTACTGTCTGATGTGCTTGTGTTTACTATCTGATGTGCTTGTGTTTACTGTCTGATGTGCTTGTGTTTACTGTCTGATGTGCTTGTGTTTACTGTCTGATGTGCTTGTGTTTACTATCTGATGTGCTTGTGTTACTGTCTGATGTGCTTGTTTACTGTCTGATGTGCTTGTGTTTACTATCTGATGTGCTTGTGTTTACTGTCTGATGTGCTTGTGTTTACTGTCTGATATGCTTGTGTTTACTGTCTGATGTGCTTGTGTTTACTATCTGATGTGCTTGTGTTTACTGTCTGATGTGCTTGTGTTTACTGTCTGATGTGCTTGTGTTTACTATCTGATGCTTGTGTTTTTATCTGATGTGCTTGTGTTTACTATCTGATGTGCTTGTGTTTACTGTCTGATGTGCTTGTGTTTACTGTCTGATGTGCTTGTGTTTACTGTCTGATGTGCTTGTGTTTACTGTCTGATGTGCTTGTGTTTACTATCTGATGCTTGTGTTTACTGTCTGATGTGCTTGTGTTTACTATCTGATGTGCTTGTGTTTACTATCGATTTATCTTTACTATCTGATGTGCTTGTTTTACTGTCTGATGTGCTTGTGTTTACTGTCTGATGTGCTTGTGTTTACTATCTGATGTGCTTGTGTTTACTATCTGATGTGCTTGTGTTTACTATCTGATGTGCTTGTGTTTACTATCTGACGTGCTTGTGTTTACTATCTGATGTGCTTGTGTTTACTATCTGATGTGCTTGTGTTTACTGTCTGATGTGCTTGTGTTTACTCTCTGATGTGCTTGTGTTTACTATCTGATGTGCTTGTGTTTACTGTCTGATGTGCTTGTGTTTACTATCTGACGTGCTTGTGTTTACTATCTGACGTGCTTGTGTTTACTATCTGATGTGCTTGTGTTTACTATCTGATGTGCTTGTGTTTACTGTCTGATGCTTGTGTTTACTATCTGATGTGCTTGTGTTTACTATCTGATGCTTGTGTTTACTATCTGACGTGCTTGTGTTTACTATCTGATGTGCTTGTGTTTACTATCTGATGTGCTTGTGTTTACTGTCTGATGTGCTTGTGTTTACTGTCTGATGTGCTTGTGTTTACTATCTGATGTGCTTGTGTTTACTATCTGATGTGTGTGTTTACTATCTGATGTGCTTGTGTTTACTGTCTGATGTGCTTGTGTTTACTATCTGATGTGCTTGTGTTTACTATCCGATGTGCTAATGTTTTACTATCTGATGTGCTAATGTTTACTATCTGATGTGCTAATGTTTACTATCTGATGTGCTAATGCTTACTGTCTGATGTGTGTTTTACTATCCGATGTGCTAATGTTTACTATATGATGTGTGCTTGTTTACCATCCGATGTGCTAATGTTTACTATATGATGTGC